CATGTTTTAATATAGTTGAATTTCCTGGTCTTCTGTATATACAGTATAAAAAAGAAAACAAGAAAATTTGAGGGGCTGATAGAGAAGCCAAAACTCATATCAAGGCAAAGGAGGATGCACAGAAAAAGAGTAGTAACTGCAGGCCGAACCATACAAGCGGCACTTTTCTACTCTCATACCAACAGGAATTCTTAATTTTCTCTGCTCAGGTCCTGAAGCACCAGATCAGACACACCGTGTTTGTTTTATGTTAGACATAACCTGATTCTTTTGTCTTCCATATTATCTTACATACAAAAAGCTTCTTTAAGCTCATTTCTTATTTTCTATCTTGAATGGATTTGGAAAGTATCACTTAGTGTTGAAGCTGCTGCCTTTGTAGTGGTAGAAAACAACATCACATATTTCCAAGAGACCCCCCCTGACCTTGTTGGGGTCAAAAGACCCCTTGGATCACCTACATATCTTGTTTCCACTTACCACTAACAAAATAAAACCCCTAAAATCAGTGAAATCAACGAAACTATTCTCGATAAAATATACACTAGTGAGAGATAATGTTAAGTAAGTTATTCAGTGGGACAAAAAGGTGAGTTTTGTTCTGTTTTAACTATCTACAACACATTTTAATTGTCTGGAGGAGCCCTTAAATTCTGCACCTTGAAGATAGCGGTATGAGAAATTTTATCTCAGGTCAGGAACTAGAAGAACCCATGAAGAGAAAGTAGTCAATTATGAGAAATCCCTAGGAAAATTAGTAAGAAACAGGAGTTCTGCAGTTGGGAGTAGTTCTTTAGGATACCCTCCTCCCTTCCCTCTTTACCAGCACTGCCTTTCTTTCTATTTGGATCCTGGTAGCCTATTCCCAACCCAATTTCAACTGCTATAATCTCTTCCTCTGCCTCCCTCTTCCTGGCATTACTTTACTGCTATTTTACCTACCTGAACATTGGATAAAACCTAGCTCAGGTAAGAACTTAATTACTTTCAAAATATGTAAGGGATACGGGGGGAGGCAGCATGGGTACAGTAGAACAAGAGAAGCCTAAATTCTATTTTCATTTCTGCCACTTAAAGCTATATGATCTTAGGCAAGTCATTTCACCTTTCTGGGCTTCGCTTTCCTCTTCTGAAGATGAAATTGGAGTTAAATGAACTCAAAAAATCCTTCTGGTTCTAACACAGATTTTCTTTTTCTTATGAATGAGAAATATAAGGTATGGAAAACTAGAAGCCATTAGAATGTTTACAGTGCTGAAGTTTGAGAGCGCCTAGCATTAGTTCTCGTGGAATCAAAAGCCTGCTGTTGTGGGGGCCTGTATTGATTTTGAGATTTTAATGGTGGCAAAAGAAAGCCTTGCACATCCATAGTGAGCCCTCAAGTCATTAGGAAACATCCTGCTAAGGCAGAGACCAAATCCCATAAGAGTAATTGCTCTTTCAAGGAATAAAACTATATCATCAAGGTTTCTGGACCCATCTATTTCAAGTATTGTTCAATGTAATAAAATTCCACCACCAATAAAATTACTGATATTTTAAGACCCTTTAATCTTATTGTGGCTACAGTGTGCTGACTTGCCCTTTTATAGGCCAGTCTGCTTCCTTCAGTCTGTGCTCTCAAAGGGGAAATCCCATCACCTCAGCTAACCAGACCGAAGAAGAGAGTTGGACAGCCAATGGTGGTCTCTCCTAACCACAGGTAAGAAATCTCAGGACTTGGAACCATGGGTTCCATCTGTTTATGTAGATTCTGGCCAAATCATCCTCCCAACCTCAAAACTGGTATATGAGGGGACCAGCTTTAGTCTGGGTTAGCTTTTAGAAGAGGAAAGGCTGTGGGCCAGCCCGTGGCTCACTTGGGAGAGTGTGGTGCTGATAACACCAAGGTCACGGGTTAAGATCCCCTTACATGTCATCTTTAAATTAAAAAAAAAAAAAAAAGAGGAAAGGCTGGTTGTACTATAATTTCAAGCCAAACAGAGAGAAGTACTTATACGTGGTTCTCCCTCACTGTTTAAGACCTTTGGACCACATTGTAAACCCAGGAAGAGGCAAACAAGCCTGTAGGAAAACAGCTTCTGCACATCTTGTTCCCTGAGTAGAAACCAAGAAGTTTGGCTGGTTATGACATCTTCCCAGTGGACCCTGTCCTGGGGTGAGGGGCTCTGATAATGCTGCCTTTTCTATTTATCCTCAATGATTTGTCCTTTGCCAACAGGCAGGTTCCTTCAACCTTTACGCTCTTCCTGTAGGAAATGGGTGAGAGAAAGGTGGTTTTAAGTATCAAAAACTTGTATGATAAGATTACCTCCAATAAAGAGCGTGAGTCTGGCCTTCAAGACCTACTTTGGAATAGAAAATCCCAAATCAAATAATCTGATTGCAAACCTAGTTTGCAATTACTTTTCACTTCCTGTTTCATTGTGATGGCATTAGTGTGAGCCCAAAGCAATTTGCCTGGTAGCAGAGACCTGGCATTTCCTTATAGGTTTAATCAGATCTCTGGGGGTGGGGCCTGGGCCTAGGTATTTTTTTAAAGCTTCCATATTCTAATGAGTAATTAGTATTGACCATCTGATTTAAATTCTTGTTCCTTCTTCAAGGTTGCATACATAATGAATCTGGCTTTCTCTCTTAACACCAGCAACCTATTCTCCTGTTCCCCAGACCTTATAGGACACAATATTCCCAGAAAAGTTAGCTGCAAGCAGTAGTCATTATAATAGTAGTATCTGCTGCTTTTGTTTTGTAGTAGAGATTAGTAGAAGGAAGACTTCACTTCATACTGATTCTTCTTGAAAACCTTTTACACTTCTCTCCTAGTTCTATTTCCTACTGGTCTTTCTTGGACTCTTTTGTTGAATCCCTTTCCTTTACTACCCAGTAAATAAATATTGTTGTGCCCAGGCCTCTTCTTACATTGTATCTTGTCCCTTGGTGATGCTATATCACACTCTTGGATTTCACTCCACCCAAATCTGAATCACTATCCCAGAGTTCTCCTCCTGAACTTCAGACCAACATATCTAGCTCTTTTACTGTGCTCTATCTGGGCCTTCCACACACATTATTCATTCCCTAATATAAGGTATGCCCCCTTCTTGTTTTCCCTATTATATTAGTTGGTACTCCTAGCTACAAACTTTCAAGCCAGAAAATTGGAAATTATCCTAGTTTATCTCACTTTCCTTCTCCCCACCCTTAATCAATCACTTTATCCTTCCTCTGTGTATCTGAATCTTATCCACTACTCTCCATCCCCACAGCCACTGCCCTTTTGTCCACCTAGTTTCACTAGGCTGGACTCCCCACCTTTAGTCTCACTGTCCTCTACCCCATCCTCCCTCCTCCTATCAGACTCCTTCCCCAGCTTGCTTAAAAGCTGAGTTGTCATAGATGGCTCTCCACAATCTGCTCCCAAGCCTTACCCTCCAGCACTGCTAAGACACTTCATTTAGGCATGCACACTTTTTCCTTTTTTTTTTTTTTTTTTTTTTTTTTTTTTCGTGTCCAGCAATGGATCGCAACCCTCAGTGTCGCGCCCGTACCGGACCGGGACCGGCAGCGGGATTGCAACCCTCGGTGTTCCTCCCGCGCCTCGCTCAGCCAGTGAGCGGGAACCGGTCTGTATGTGGGATCTGAACCCTCGGCGGGAGCGCCGCTGCGCTCTCAAGCGGCGCACTGTAGCAGTGCACCACCGGGCCGGCCCCTAGGCATGCACACTTTGAAGAAGGCTCAAAAACCTTTTCTGGAACAATAAAATACACATACCCTTGTTCCTTGAAGTGTGATTCTGAGAACCTGCAGCATGTGCATTACCTGGAATTGTATTAAAAATCCACATTCTCACCCCAGACCTACTCTGTGAGAATTCTCATTTTAACAGAATCTCCAGATGATTAATATGCACAGAGTTTGAAAAGCACTGATTTATAAAATACAAATTTTTTTTTTAAATGAGTGAAGAAATTAGAGCTAAGGGAAATTCTGATGAAGCCAGAGGTGAAGTAATATTGATAAATGCATGCAGTCAGATGGTCTATAATTTTGGAGGGGGAGGGTGCAGTAGTGATTTTGAGGAAGCCAAACAGAGGACAACTTAGACAATATCGAGATTTTTAGTCTTTATAGGTACTAGTTTTAGTACTGAACTCTCCCAGCACTCTCTCAGGGCTTATCATCACTGGGCTTACATCAAAAAATCTTATCTCCAAGGCTAGACTCTTTCTGATATTCCTTTGCAGAGAGCTAAAGACCAAGCCCTCCTCACCAGCCTCCCTGCCCTTTCTTAGTTAGCTGTGGCAGAGAGATCAAAGGGCTGGGTTCCTCACCGATGATGTCTTGGCTGTAGTCTCCCCTACTTCCCAACTTTTACTCATCCTTTAATTAGTCCAGTTATTGCTTCTTCAAAAAGCCCACCTGTGTCCTCCCTGGCCTTCCACTTCCTGCTGTACTCCAGGCCTTCAAGGCACTTTTCATCCTGTACTGATTGTTTATGGGCGTTAGTACACAGATGTGCTGAAGGGCCCCGGCCCTAGGATCAGATACACTCAGGTCTGAATCCCAGCTTCCCCTCGTACAAGATGTGTGACTTTGAACCAGTGACTTACCTCCCTACTTATTTTCCTGTTCGTAAAATGTGGCTAATAGTGGTGCTTTACTGTCCAAAACTGTTGAGAGAAATGAGTGTATTAATACAGGGCAGCAAGGCGTGCAGTATCCCACCTGCCCCCAACGCACATCTGTAAACAGTAAATAGCTGAGGGGCAGCCACATTCAGAGGCAGGTTGGCCAATGCTGGGCCAGGGGAAACTCGAGGAACTGGAGGCGGGTGCGGGGGTGGGGACTCGGAACCCCTTTCCAGCTTTCGCCAATCCTGGGGCTTGCTCCCAAGGGAGTAGGGCGGGACTAACAGGTTGAGCGATGGCGGCTGGCCCGCCCCGGGCGTGACGTTGTCCTAGTAGTGTTGCCAGCCGCCGCACGTGGTCGGCTGAGTACGCCTTAGACTCAGTGCTACGCTGCGCGTCCTCAGCACCAGCCGATTGCCTTCCTGCTTCTCCCGGTCGCTATGTCCACGTCCACGAGCTTCCCGATCCCCGGGGGCTGGGACCGGCTACCCGACTGCTACAGCACCATGCCGGGGGGCACGCTATATGCCACTACCCCGGGAGGTCAGCGGGCCGGGCCAGGGGTCCGCAAGCCGGGAGCAAACTAGCGCGTGCGTGCTGTCGCTGGGCGGGGGTGGGGAGGTGTGGGCCTTGGACTCGTCCGCAGGCCCCTTTGCAGGATGTATCTTTGGGGGAGGATGTTTGGAGTTGAGGCTCAGTACCCAAAAACCTCGAAGTGATGCAACAAGGCCTTGATCCTAGCTTCCGGGCGGTTCTGGATTGAAATTCCTCTCTGTGGTCTGGGTTCTGGGACCCTTGCTCACACTCCCGCCCCTCGCGATTTTACCTCCTGGGAGTAGGAGCCGTGGCCTCAATAGGAAGCAACAGATCTTGCGGAGCGGCTACAGCAGTTGGAGGCAGGGGCTTTGGGTAACGTGCGGCCGTCTGGGTGAGCAGCCTGGGATCACGAGCTGCTGGGCTACCGACCCTAGGGTTCCTGCCACCTGGAGGCGGAGGGGAGGGTCAAGAATAAGGCGGGGCCCTTATGCGACCAAGTTCCTCTTGGCTAGACTGTGCTGCGTAGTTGGGAGGGGTTATTAAGAACAGTACGTCCCAGTGTTTCATGGTGTTGGGAGAACCTGTAGGAGAGGAGAGCCTCGGTGGTAGCACTAGGTGAAACCTTTCACAACTGCTATTTTGCTTCTTGATCCAGTTGAGGCTGGAGGGCTTCTCCCCCATCCCCGCTTTGTGAACCAAGGAAGTTCCAGAGCAGTAGAGGGGCAGCCTGAAGTACCTGAGCTCCAAGTTTGGTGCTCCTCTTAGAGCCAAGACCTGAAGCTCCCCTAGACCTAAAGCCCCTGCCTGGACCAGCTGGGATGCCCCACTTGCTTTATGGGGCTTAGCCACATCTTGGTTAGGCATGGAAGTCTTTTAAGTGATATGAAGGCTTGTCAGTTGAGATTCTAGCTGGGCTGCAGGGCAGATGCTCTTTGATACACAGGAAAATGTGATGCACCTGTCTCCAAAGAGCCAGTGTCTGGGGTTCCAGTCACCTCTGTACCCAAGCTCCTGACTCTTACCTCAGCCCCTAACCCTTGACAGGCACCAGGATCATCTACGACCGAAAGTTACTGCTGGAGTGCAAAAACTCACCCATTGCCCGGACACCCCCCTGCTGCCTTCCTCAGATTCCCGGAGTCACAACTCCTCCAACAGCCCCACCCTCCAAGCTGGAGGAGCTGAAGGAGCAGAAGGAGACAGTGGAAGAGATACCCGGTAAGGAAAGCAGGACCTAAAATTAAGAAATGCCCAATCCCTTGAGTTCAAATGCCACTGTAAAGTAGTGGGGGTTCAATTCCAAGAGGGGTTTCTACACTCACACTGAGCCTGCATTCTCTCAGACCAGCAACCAGTCCTCCTGCCTTTTCTCTCTCCAGATGACGCACAATTTGAAATGGACATCTAATCCAGTGCAGATGACCTCCATGTGTGGAGTTACAAGTATAGAGGGATCCCTCATGCTGCTGCTGCCACCACCTCTTCCTGGGATATCCAAAGGCCAGCTTGACCTCATCTAATCTGGAAGGGAGTGACTTGCTGGTTCTGGGCCTCCTTTAGTTCTGAGACAGCTAAATTACCAGGGACAGGAGTGGGCAACTTGCCAAGCCCATAACTCTATTTTCTCTTTGGTCTGTAGGCACTCCTCCCAACCCACAGCCCTCAATGCTCAGGGGCTGGGACTGGGGGATGGAGTATGTCACCTTCTGGCTGCTTAGTAAACATTTAAGGAAATGCCTTGGCTCCAGTGTTCTCCTCAATGCTGATCTTCCATCTCAGCCACACAGCTGAGAGCCTTGCAGGCCTAGTTAAGTAAGGTCAGAGGCCCCAGGTCCTTTTCCAGCTTCCACTGGGCCCACCTCCAGCAGCAATTAGAGCCTGAGGCAGGATATGGGGGCAGGGTCCAGGAGCTGCCAAACCATAAACGGCGATAGCCTGGTCCTTGCCTAGGGCTGTTCCTGTCTTTCCAGGAAGCAGCCTTCCTGGAACTGGGCCTCCCCAATCCATTCTAAAACAGGGCTCTTGGAAAAGAGGTGCTGTCCCAGCCCACAGCCATCACCAGTCTCACCCCATGCCTTTTCTGCCTCCCACCTTGTAAGTACCAATACCCCTGTTTCCAACATTAAAAACCTTGTACCCTCCCTTCTCACAGCATGGTATCTGCCCGCTCCACCCACCTCTGTTCTCAAAGGGTTAAAAGGGATCTTAGGGAAGCCCGAAACTGAGGCAGCAGCTTATTTAGTGAGTCAGATTGAGACATGTCCCCAAATTTCAGTAATTTGGTCTTTTTCTCCTTCTATTTATATAGCAGAAACCCCACTCACTGTGGTTTTAATCTCTATAGCACCTATATACCTCAAGGGTGATACAGTGCAAACAGAAGAGTCTTTCCTTTTGAGGGAAAAATCTCCCCTTGCCATTTGAGTCTGTTCTCATGCTGAAACAAAACCATCCAGAGAAGGACTGCTCCACCCAGGAGATGTGCTTTTTGGTAATTTTGGGGAAGGTGGCAGGCAGCAATTTGGTCATGCCCAGCAAAGCCCTTCATGATGAGTGGAGAAAGGAGAGCAGAGATTTGCAGGGAGCAGGACAGTTGACACCAGAGGGGACTAATTTGGCAGAGGAAGGGCTCATCTCTTACCCAGGGCCTACCACTGAGATGTTTTTATTGAAGTGCATATGTTATGGGTAACAGATGTCTTCCTGTGGCCCAGGTGGGACCTCTTCCTAGAGAGATGGGTCAGGCCCAATAGGACAGACACTCTTCCTGGTGGTAAGAGGGAACTGAGTGAGAGAAGGCCTCCATTCCAATGCATAGGAGATGATGTGAGATGAGTCTTGGGAACCCACAGGATTATGGAGTCTGTGGGAAGCCTGGTATGGTCTGGTTCTCCTCAGCTGTGGCTGCAGATTTCTCTTCACTGGCCTCTGTCTCTGAAGACAGACTCTTCTTTTCCGCAATTAATCTTTTAACTCCCACCATCCACTGACTGACTTCAGTCACGTGGTCAACCATGAGTGAGCGGTGGATGTCATCTGCTGCATCCCACTGGTGGCTTGAGAGCTCTGAGAAGAGACAGGGTTGAGCAAGCAGCCTTGTGTAAGAGACAGCTTCCATGCCTCCCCTTCCAATCAATCAAAATCGCAGCACCTACTGCAGCTCAGCCAATCATGGCAAGATGAGGGACTTAGGCTGTACCAAGGAACCCACCCATACCTTGCACCAGCAGAACCATCCTCTTCTTCACAGGCATTGACAACTTCCCTCCACCCCACTGTTCCTGCAGCAGTGCCAGGCGTCGGCTGATGTCATCACATACCTGTTTCTAAGAGACAGAAGCCCCCTCCAAATAAGTGTTGCCAGCCCAATGTGAGGGAGGGGGAAGGCAGCACCACATAGGAAGCATCTGCTTTTTCTGGCCCAGAAACTTTTACTTAATCTTTAGGAGTTCTGGTTTTTTATGCAAAGGTCAGAAGCCCCACTGAGAACCTGATGAAACCTACGGATCTCCTCTCAAGAAAAATGCGTGTATGGCTAGAATATTAAAATTTCAGGGGCTTCTCAGACTCTCAAAGCTTATCCTATAGTGTTACTTTACAAATAAGGAAATTAAGACTGAAGTGAAATTACCATGCTGCTTCCCCTTTCTTTTAGGACATTCCTGAGATTGCTTGGCTTCAGAGAACTTAGAAAATACTACAGATAGGGCCGGCCCGGTGGCGCACTGGATAGTGCGCCGCTTGGGAAGCGTGGCGGCGCTCCCGCCCGAGGGTTCGGATCCCACATGCAGACCGGTTCCCGCTCACTGGCTGAGCGAGGCGCGGGAGCAACACCGAGGGTTGCGATCCCGTTGCCGGTCCCCGGTCCGGTACGGGGGCAACACTGAGGGTTGCGATCCGTTGCCGGACACGGAAAAAGACAAAAAGACAAAAAAAAAGAAAAAAAAAAAAGAAAATACTACAGATAGAAGGGGGTTTCTCTCTCTGACTGAGCACAATATAAAATTCCCTGTTATCAGTTCACTGATGGAAACTGAATTCAACTCTTTTTCCCACAAACCTCTTCTACGACTGGCCTTCAGAAGTCCTGTGTACCCTCCTGAAATAATCTGTTCATTTTTCTGGGAAGGCCTCAGCAGATTCTGAAGGGGTCCATACCTCTAAAAATATTAAGAGCCATTGCCCATAAGGTCAAAGGGTTTACCTTTGGGAGCCATACCCACATCTGGCTGTGGATGGGAGCCCTCTCCACCCCACTCCCACCCTCACCCCCTGGTGTGCCAGGGCTTACTATCGTGTGGCCACGGCATTCCTCCAGTGCTTGTTCCAAAGGTCTCAGCACATCCTCCATTAGAGCCTCAGAGTCGATGACTGGGAAAGTTGTGAGTTCCACACTGGAAACAGGACAACTCCCCACAGTTGGGGGCCTGGGAGCCTTACTCAAAGGTGGTGGGTGCCTAGGAGAAGTCTCTGAAGTGGGGACTGAAAAGGTAAAGTAGGATCAAGCAGCATGGCATAAACAGATAAGCTCAATTCTAAATTCACCCCTTCTCAGGAGGCCTGCTCTCTGGGACAACTCATTCATTCAAAACTATATTTATGAAGTCCCTACTATGTGCCTGACAAGTGCTAGGCACTAAAGATAGAAAAGTAAACCAGACAAGTTAGGTTCCTGACCTCAGAGAGCTTAAATTCTAGAGGGAGGGGGGAAAGAAAACAAGAAAATTACCAAATTATGTTACATACTACAAAGAAAATGTATTATGTGATAAAGAGAATTATGTGATGGGGGACCTACCTAGACTAAGTGTTCTAGGAAGGCCTCCTGAGGTGACATCTAAGTTTATCCCAGCCCACCCACTATGTGGCCTTCAGCAAATTACTTATTTTATTTTATTTATTTATTTATTTTATTTTTATTTATTTTTTCCTTTTTGTCTTTTTTCGTGACCGGTAACGGGATCGCAACCCTCGGTGTCGCGCCCGCACCACGCTTAACCAGTGAGCGGACCGGTCTCTATATGGGATCCGAACCCTCGGCGGGAGCGCCGCACACTGGGCCAGCCCTTATTTATTTATTTATTTTAAATGACCGGTAGGGCCGACCCCGTGGCTCACTCAGGAGAGTGCAGCGCTGGGAGAGCCGAGGCCGTGGGTTCGGATCCCATATAGGGATGGCCGGTGTGCTCACTGGCTGAGCGTGGTGTGGACCACACCATACCGAGGGTTGCAATCCCTTTATCGGTCAGAAAAAAAAATAAATGACCGGTAAGGGGACCTTAACCCTTGACTTGGTGTTGTCAGCACCACACTCTCCCATGAGAGTTAACCGGCTATCCCTATATAGGGATTCAAACCCATGGCCTTGGTGTTATCAGCACCGCACTCTCCCGAGTGAGCCACGGGCTGGCCCTAGCAAATTACTTTTAACCTCTAAGCTTGGTTTCCTCTTCTGTAAAATGGGAATATTATAGTAATGGCACTTATTTCACAGGATTACAATAAAAATTAAGACTGTAAGTACGGTTGCTAGATTACTGTGTAGCAAAGAGTACTCACAAAGCTGTTTTTATTATTCAGTTGAGAATTAGTGGATGAGACAGGTGCAGCTATGAAGAACTGAAGGGACACATAATAGCCAGAGGTAAGGGCAATGCCTAAGAGTCAGGAAATGTCTTAATTTGTTCAAGTGACAGAAATGAAGCCTATGTGGGTGGAAATTATTGACACTGAAAAAAGTAGTATGAGCTTTTACTAGGTAGGCAGAGGTCCCGACCCTGGCCTTGGAGTTTGCTCTTGAGCCTGATGCTACTGGGAAACCACGGGAGGTTCATAAAAGCAGGGGTGACCAAACTTATTTTTTTAAGATGTACGCTCTCTGAAAAATTGATGAGAACAGTTTTTGAGGTCAAGAATGGAGGTAGGGACACCAGCTGGGAGGCTGAGTAGTCCAGGAAAGAGAGAATGCTGACATACACTAGGGTAAAGAGTACATGAGGAGAAATGAAGTGGTCTGCGAATTATTTGGGAGGTAGCAACACGACTTGGTGGACTGGGGATGACAGAGAAGTCAAGATGACTCTTGGTTTCTGACTTTAGTAAGGGGAACCACTAACTGAGAAAGAAAACCAGAGGAGAAAAGTCAAGAATTTACTTTTAGGCATCAATGTCCACAAGGATTATTAATTCATCTAATAATTTGGCCTCACAGTTACTTGACCTCCTCATCTCCGATGATCAGTTTTACCCAGTCTACCTCAGCCTCTCATTCCCCTCTGCCTCATTCACAACAACACTATCCAAAATCTGGTCACCTACCCCTTCTACCCTTCCAGCTCAGCTACTCAAATTTTGTGGTGCACTAAAATCAATTCTTTAGTATAAACACTCTTAAATCCTTTATCTCTTCCCACTGTCTCACTTTCCTGGTTAAACCCAACTTATCTGCACTTGGGAGGAAAAACAGAACCATATTGATGGTTTTACACTTTAAATTCATGGCCACTTTAAATTTGTATTTAAAAGGTGCATTGCCTGGACACTATGCCTTATTTTTTCCACTCTTCAGAACAACTATTTTCACATCTCTAAACTTTTCCACCTTCTCCCCCTTCCTTTCCCTGCTGTCTACTTTTGACTCTGCCTCATAAGAGAAAACAGGAACTCTCTAGTCTTCCTATTACTAGTTCTAACCCATCTGCATCTGTTGCCACTTTTCCTCCAGTAATAGATGAAAGGTTCCTGCTTCTATCAAAAACCATCTCTCCAGCTGTACTCTGCATCCCAGTGTCTCTAAACTTCCCTCTTGCAATTATCCCTTCTCTCCTGCATCATCAGTTCTCCCTCTCTACTGAACCATCCCATCAGCATGCATCAGGTTGTAGTATATACTGTGAAAAACAACCCTCCTTTACTTCACCTTCCATCTTCAGATACTGCCCAATTTCCCATTGCACCTTCACAGCAGAATTTCTTGAATGAGCTGTCTATAGTCACTCCCTCCACTTTTCACATTCTCTCCTCAGCCCATTCCATCTGAGTTTCTGTTCTCACCATTCCCCAGAGACTGCTTTTGTTAAGGTTGCCAGTAATTGCTATTTGTCAAATATAGTGGTCCCTTGTCTACCTTACTTGACCTCTCAGCAGCATTCATCACTGTTTATTCATGATTTTACTCTCTCCTGTGTTGTTCTTTGGTCATTTCTGTTTCCTTTGCTGATTCCTTCTCACCTCAACTTTGAAATACTAGAGGGTCCTAGGGCTCTGTCTTAAGCCTCTTTAGGTCTCTATCCACATCCTCTCCTTAGCTAATTTTATTAAGGCCCATGACATCTAATACCATCCAGATTATGGTGACTCATTTCTATAATTCTGGTCTAGACCTCTCCCCAAAAGAGCAGCCCAAACATGGCCAAAACAGAAAGCTTGGTTTTCCCCTCCCCCCAAAATCTTTATCCTGCAGTCTTCTAGTATCATGCAAAAAATTTTGGTTATATTGATTCCTCCTACATCTACGCATTCCTACTGATTTTCTCCATAACATATCCCAAATACATCCAATTCCTACCGCCCTCACTACTCCCACCCTTGTCCAAATCATTAAATTGTGCCTGTATTACCATAATAGCCTCTTAATTTGTCTTTCCATGTCTTCCCTAAAACCTTGTGTTCCACACAGCAGACACAGTGATCTTTTTAAGATGTAAATCAGTTGGTGGTTCTCAAGCTGGGGAGATTGTGCCCATAGGGCAAATGTCTGGAGACACTTTTGGCAATTACAACTGGGTGGGTGCTACTGGCATCTATTGGGTAGATGTCAGGGATGCTGCTAAACATCCTACAATGCACAGGACAGACTCCCACAACAAAGAGTGATGTGGCCCCACATATCGATAGTGCTGAGGTTAAGAAACCCTGCCTTTTATCATTCCTCTACAGTGCAAAGTGTGTGGAGAATGGAGGGATGCAGAAAGAACCAAACCTAAGCCCCTTTTTAGGGCCACAGCCAACTTACTGGCCTAGGAAGTTCTAAGGGAGAAAGGCCACCCTCCTCTACATAAAGTTTTCAATGGCTTCTGACTTTACATAGATTAAAATACGAGTATATTCTGATAACAAGGTCGAGGGTTTGATCCCTGTACTGGCCAGCTGCCAAAACAAAACAAAACAAAAACAAACGAATATAAACTCCTTATCTATTTATAGTTTACAAAACCCACTATGCTCTAGTCACTGTGTACTCTTTCAGTCTCTGAATTGGCAGAATTTGTTCTCATCTCAGGACCTAAGCACTAGCTGTAATGCTCTCTTGCCTGATCATTGCGTGGCTGACTTTTAATGATTCAGATTTCAACTTAAACGTCTTAAGCCCCTCAGACACCTTAGTTACCCAGTCTATCACATCACCCTATTTTATTTCTCTGCAGGACCCTTACCACTATTTCATCTGTCAGTCTGTCATCTCCAATGCTAGAATGTGGACTTCAGAGACCTTCTGTCTGTTCACTGCTGTCTAGTTCACCTTTAGATAGTGCCTAGCTCATAGTAGGTGCTCAGTATATAACAGTGACTGACTGAATGAACAGCATGTTAAATGCTTATTATATACCCAAGTGAAGAAGTAGAATAGTCAAATGGATATACCACTGTGGGTTTCTGGGAAGAGGTCCAGGTTGGAAATAAAATTTGAAAATAATTTGAGAATAAAAACTGTATTAAAAGCCACAGATCTGGAAGAGATCACCTAGAATGAAAGCATAGAGAGAGTTGTCTTAAATCAATGTACCATTTATTGACCAGAGCAGCAGAAAGGGGGCTCGGAAAAGTGACTCCTGCCCTGAGACCCTTACTGGGGACCCAACCACACTCCTCAGGGAGTCCTCCAAGGAGAGTAAAAGGCCCTCAAGACAGGCTTATCCTGGCACCGCCCACTTTCTTTAAAACAAATTTTAATTGTACACATTTATGGGGTACAACATGGTATTTCGATACATGTACATACACATTGTGAAATGATAAAATAATGTTAACTGGCATATCCATCATCTTAAACATTTACCATTAGAAACACCGCCCATTTTCCACCCGTCTCCGCGCACTGGGTCCCCCACGCACCTCTGGGGGATCCATCTTGGGGGGCGGCGACTCTCTTGGTGAGGGGTGTGCGCTTGGGTCCGCCAGCCTGGATCTGCAGCCCGTATGAGAACTGCGGCGGGTCGTTCCACCCGCGCTCCTTGTTGCCTGCGAAGGCGAGGGGACGTGTGAAGCGAAAACAGGACTCCCCCCAGAGGATTGCATTGGGGCTGAGGAGAGAGAGGGTCCGCACCCCGCGCCGTAACTGCCCCCAGCTTACGCCAGGGCGAGGACCCAGCGCTGGGGCCCGCCGGCAGTGCTCACCGGGCTTCACATACAGCTCCGCCATCTCCACTTCCGCACGGCCAGCGTGGCAGCGCGTCATTTCCGGGGCAGCAGCTCACTCGAGCCGGCTGGGGTGCGTCCCGGGCCAGGCAGCTTGCCTGGAGCCCTTGAAGTTGGAAAGTTCTTGAAGTTGGAAAGTTGTTCACAACCGCCAGGAGCCGCTGTGAGACCCTGCGCCAACTACCTACGGGACTCGAAATCTTCAGCTAATGATCCACTGGGGCCGTGGTCACAAGGCACCAAACCGGGCTATTTTCTAGGAGCCGTCGCCCTACGAGCCCTCATCTTCTCTGGTCCAATCTCTCCAGTCTCCCAGTTGCTCTCAGGAGCAAGGACGAACCAACCAGAAGCTCTTGCCCCACAAATAACCCTCTGTGATAGGCCAGACAGACTTTTAAAGCATCACCTGTGTCCACTGCCCTGCACAATCTCCACATGCACATTCTTTAGCCTTGCTAACTAGTAATCATCTTTCAGTACTCAGATGTCATTTTTTTTTTTTTTTTTTTTTTTTTTTTTGCGGCTGGCCAGTACAGGTATTGAACCCTGGATCTTGGTGTTATCAGCACCACACTCTAACCAACTGAACTAACTGGCAAGCCTCAGATGTCACCTCTTTAGGAAGCCTTCTGAAATGCCTCAGGCCAGGTTAAGTGTTTTGCCTGAGTTCCCACAACCCTCTGAGATTTCCTAATTGTACATCCTATCTTCTGTCTTTGATTCTTGTTCATCTGTTTGTATGACAGTCTCAGAAGATGGGACCCTATTTTATTACATCGCCAGTGCCTAGCTTAGTGTATGGCACAGAGAAGACCTTAGAAAATGTTTGTTGAATTAATGAAGTCAAATTTCCATCACACCAATTCCCTCATGTGACTACAGGCAGCCACTAAAACCAAGCTCAGACACAAAGACACTCACCTCACACAGGTTGTTGACCCCCAACCCTTTCCCAGGCCCAATATACTCACATCCAGTGAGGTCACTGAGGGATTTTTATTTGCACTGATTTTGCTATAAAGTGTAGCTGAGGTAGAGCCAAATGTCCAGAGTTAGACAGGGGCAAGAAACACAAGGACCCAAGGAAAGGGGAATCAGGAGCCTACGTTGTTATACAGGGCCTCTCTGTCCTATCCATAGAAACAATAAATTGGGCAATAAATAGAGGATGGGCAAGGATTGGAGGGACAGGCAGAGAAGGCTTAGAGAGGTGAGAGGCTATAGGCCCCTGAGGAATGAAGGGTACAGAGTTGGGCATGGACCCAGAGCCTCCTTCCCTAGCCCTCCCAGATCAATTTAGGGCATATGGAGCAGAGAGGGTTTCAGCCGGAAGGCATCAAGAAAAGAGAAGACACTCCGCTTTCGAGGGGTTGCCCCTGGACCCCCAACCCCTCCTTTGAGCAGGGGGATGGGCAGGGGACCTCCTGGGGAATCCATGGAGCTGGTCCGCTTGAGCCGCAGGCGGGCACGGGCCTGAGCACCCCAGGCCTTGCCTCGAGCTGCAGAGGCCACAAGACATTTCTGGTACTGAACCTAGGGAGAAGGGGTAGGTGAGGATCCAGCTATTTTCTGCCCCTGGACTCCCTAAAAGATTCTGCAGGACAGTGAACTGGCCATGGCTTCTATCTGAAATGAGGCTGGTAGGCCACATTTGGAGTCTCAACAGCATTCCCAGGTAGTTCAATAACAAAAACAAAATTTGACATTTATCAAGTACTTAAGGAGGGCTGGACACAGTGCTAAGTGCCTTGTATAATCCAACTTAATCCAATTATTTGAGGGGTTGTTATCCCCATTTTGCAAATGAGGAAATTGAGAATCAGAGAAAGAAAATGACTTGCTCAAGGTCATGTAGCCAGATAATGGAACGATTGGCATTCAAACCTACTTCTGTCCAACTGCAGAGCCTGTACTCAACCACACCTACCACTATCCTGCCTCTCCTCCATCTCTCACTGGTGCAGACTGTTCCCTACAAAGTGGATTCCTTAGTCAAGGGGAGGGTGTACAACCCAAACTCTATTCCCAGTGCAACTGCCCCAATCATCTCTCATTTGAACTACTTAGAGAGGTCCTAATTGGCCTTCCTACCTCCTCTCTTGTCCTATAAATATTTTACCCATACTGTAGCTTAAGTGGTCATCCTAATTCACAAACCTGACTTCACTGTCCTGCTCAAAACCCTTCAATGGTTCCTAGTGTCTCGGGACAAAATTAACTCTTCACCCTAACCTATAAGGTCCTCCATGCCCTGGTTTCTGCCATTCTTTTTGCCTTCATCTCTTGCACACCAGATACACAGATTCTTTCACAGTTTCTCTAACCCACTAATAATGTCTCTCTCACCTTCATAGCTAAGGTTACCTGTGGTTGGCACACCTGCTCCACTCCTCTTTACATGGTTAACTTCCTCCTTGGAACTTTAACTCAGTTTTCTATCGCCTCTTACAAGTATCCTTCCTGACCCCTGAAGGAGCCATGTCCTCAATGATCCCGTGGTGTATAACTTCTTTCTGGTCTGTCTCTGCTCTATCCGAAGTGTACTATGAAGACAAGGGCTGTGCCCTCTATACCACTGAGTTCCTAGTGTCAAGGATTGTGTCTAATACCCTGTAGGCAGTCACATTGTTGAATGAATGCGTGAACTAATGGAGTGTAAGTATCCCACATTCAAATGCCCACAGATGCCAAGAAATAACCTAAATAAGACAAACAGGAAAGATGATGCCCACCCTATAGAATATAGTCCCTACACAACTCCGGCTGCAGGTTGAAATTTATAAATGTGAACCCAGTGCCAGAGCTCCTGATATTTTTTAAAAAACAGAAATAGCAATTATTATGTGAAATGTCCTGGCTTTTAAATACTGGCAACTAACTAAAACTTACAAAAAACAGCAAGAAGGCCAAATCACTAGTGAACCAAGTCAGCCCTGGGATTACTGGTTTATGATCTCTGGGGAGGCTGCCGATCCTGAGCCCCAGTTAACAGTACAGAGCAAATGCAGGGCAATCCCACAATCCCACCCACCCATTCCCACCCCTAACTCACCATACAGGCAGCCTGCACAGCTTCAGAGAGTCCCCCTGCATGGGGCTGGCACCAGAAGGCTGCACACTGGAAGCTCTGATGGCCCAGGTCAGCGATGAGGCCAAAGGTGTGTGGGTCATGACCAACACCAATAAAGGTCACAAGACGCACAGGGCACTGCCACAGTGGCTCCTCCTCTGCACCAGCATCTGCCTGCCCATACCAGGCCTAGTCACTAGAGGACCAAGTACTGGCCATCAAAACCCACTGAGCAATTCCAACAGCAAGCAATAACCCCTCAGCATCCCTGCTCACCCCTCCACAGCCCCCAACTTCACCCTCGTCTGGTACCTGAATGGGATGTGCAGTCATGAGAGAGTCAGACACACTGAGCATGATGGGGACCCAGGCATTCCGGTCTCCCCGGGCGGTAAGGGTACCAATGGCCTCATTCAGCACGTCCATGCCTGGGGGGACATGCCCATGTGGTGTCTCCCAGTTGTAAAAGGGTCTGTGAGAAGTGTCTAGGCCCCTCTCACTGACTTGGGATTCAGAAAGATGGGAATAGAATAGCTGGGGCTGGGCTTAGAATTCTGAGTTGGGAAGGCTAGTACATCCCAGGCCTTATGAAGCCATGGGAGGACTCTGAAAAATTGTGGTAGACCCTGCCTCACCCACCTTCCCCTTGCCTATGCAGTCCACCCCATCCAGCCCCCTCAGTTCTCACCCATAGCTTTGGTGACTGGCAGGGTCCCCATGTACAGTGCCTCATACTTCTGAGCAGACTGGCTCACTGCATCCAGCAGCTCCACTGAAATACACAGACTGAGTTGACCAGGGAGCTCTCTCAATTACCTCTTTCCCCACCCTTCTGAGTGGGCCAGGACGCAGGCCAGAGCTGCTGCTATAGAAGAAAGGCCCATGGATGCTCCTCCAATTCAGGGATTGGGATCCCTGGGACCAGACATCTCCAAAATCCCAAATCTCCAGAGAAGTACTAAATAACCAGGAACTCTCCCGTCTTTCACCAAAGCAACTTGACACTGTAATGTAGCACCCCTTCCCATACCTTGCCGTGGCAGGTCTTCAGGGGAGATAGGGTCTAGGGAGCAGCAAGGGGCATCACCACTAACTCCTCCTCGCTCTGACAAGATCTAAAACACAATGCAACCAGCATAAGACACAGGGAGAGAGAGGAATTAGGAGTAAGAGGGCCAATACCACCTGCCCCAACTACCTTGGAAGCTTCAGACACAGCTCCATACCCACATTCCCTGCTCCACCCCTGGCCCTTACCTGGGCACAGAGCCCATGTAGGGCACTGGCAATGGCCTTGGCAGGGACATCACAGCGAAACACATGGCACTTGAGCATACAGCTGTCTTTGTCACCCGCCACAAAAGCGAAGTCCCTGGTAGGAGCAGAGATGAGGCTAGGGTAGAGGCTGGTAAGGGGCAGGGGCCCGTAGTGCCTTCAGGAGGCTGGAAAGTCAGGCTAGGGGTGTGGCAGGGATGGAGTAAGGAGATCAAGGCTAAGGCTCAGAGAACCTTGTTGTCACTCACCTGTCACTGTTCCAGAAGCATGTGGGAGCACAGGAGAAAATCAGCCCAGCCTCTCAGGCTTTCCACCATTTGTCCCTACTGAGCTGGGCCCACCCTCCCCAACCAGGGTTGGAACAGGTAGGGGAGGCAGGGCTGGGTCCATGTCAGAGGATCTGTGTCCTGGGGATCAAGTACTAGGATCAGCATCAGCAGGGATCACAGCCTGCAGTGGGGAGGGAGAAGCAGCTCTCTCTTGGTGGAATGTAGGAGTCCTCACCGGCCTTTGGAGCTCCCCACACCCCATACACGGATGTGCACCAGAGGCTGGCAGTGGATCAGACTGTGGTCCAAGGGATTCACCAGGCTCATGGCATCCTTCTTCAAGATCATCAGCATGTTTTGGCCCTGCCAAAGACAAAGATCAGTCCAGAGCTCAGATAAAGGTGGTTGCCATGGGGAACAGGAAATTCAGGTACAACTAACTCTGCTGGGCACTGGGCTGCACCTCTTGGGGAAGCCAGCCAGCTCACCTCGCCCCAGGCACTGTCTGGGGGCTGGCTTCCACTGTGGGTCTGGGCCAGCTGCTGGATGCAGTTATTGACTGCGATACTGCTCCTCCCGGGAGCCAGGTCCTCTTCGGGTACCTCTACCCAGCCCAGAGAGTGGACTGCAAAGCACTGACAGGTTGGGGGAAGGGAGAGGAGTAAGTAGGGGTGAAGTAGGGTGGCAGGTGCCACAGTCTACACACATACAAACCCTCTAGTACCCCCCCCCCTCACTCTTGATCACCTTTGCTCAGTCCAATCCCACCCTGATCTTTCCCCTGGGACTTCCCAATGCCCTGGGCTGGCCCTCAGACTCAAGTTACTACCTTAGCCCCTGGGTCCATGCTCTGGATGTAGGATTCCTCACCATACCAGGACAGGGAGTTACTGGAACAGAGCAGAGCTGTTAACAGGACCATGTTTCCTACAGTAGGGGCACTGGTCAGGCCCAGACTACTTGATGAGCACAGGATGTGAGACAAGAATTTAGCACCACAAATATAAAACCAGAGCCAGGTAGGGCCCAGGACATATTAAGTGAACTTAACATAAAGTGTGGCATAGAATTTGAGGGAAAATTCAAGACACAGGATACAGAATAAAAGTCATAATCATGGAGCAGAGTCCAATATGTGGATCAGAGCCCCAAACTGAGACAAGAGACCCTAGAACACAGTATAGGAACCCCCACAGACAGAGCCTAAGACAATGACCAAGAACTAGAACATGAAAGCTGAAGACCCAGATACAGAAAAGAACACTTATCTAAAGACAAAAGCTTAGAACAAGGAATAAAAGTCAAAATACTGAGAGTCAAGAACACAGGACAGAGCCAAGAACACAGAATAGAGCCCAAAACATGGGACAGGGTTCAGAACCTGGGCTGAAAAGGAGACCCTGGTCCAGCTGCATTTTTGAGTGGCATGGAACCTCATTTTGCCTGGACCATCCCTGTTACCTCCGATCCAGTGAGCTCTCCAGGCTGGAGAAGGATCTCCCCTTGGGAGGCCGCAGTCCCCAGATCCCCTCGGTCCCCTGTAGATTGGGGGTTAGTCAGTGTAGCAGCAGGCCTAGGTCCACACACGGGCTCAGGCCCCCTCCTCACATTCCACGTACCGTGCCTGGATCTTCTGCATCTCCTAGCTCCCAGGTTGGGCGCTGCCACTGGGTGCTACCGCTGGGTACGTGCCAATAGTAAGTACCTGCAGCATCGCGAATCTTCCTCCAGCCAGGCGGCAAGCCTGGCTCCCCCTCCAGACTCTGGTCCCCCCACAAGTCATCTAGAGGAACACGGATTGGAAAGGGGAGCATATTATTCGATCCCAAAGGGGACAGCCCTTAGGCTGGAGGTCCAGACTCCCAATCTTGAAGACATCGCATGTAAAGTTCAGGGTTCGTTTGTCCCCTGGTCTTCGCAACGAGACGTACCCCCCCACCCTGTCTTTGAGCTTCGTGGTAGCCTTTCGGGCTCCCTCGACCCCCCTCAGCTGCTGGTCCTCCCACCAGGCCCCTCCGTGCACACCATCGCAGTTGACCAGAATGATGGCCAGCATGTAATCCTTTCCCAGCATAGCCCCAGCCGCGTCCTGCCGGCCTCTGCCGGCCCGCACTCTCAGCCCAGGGCGACCTTCGGAGCTGCTGCGCCTACAAGCCCCAGCCTCTCTGAGCCAGAGACGGCAGGGCCAACTGGCGCCGCACAAGCACTAGGCGGGACAGGGGCCGGTCTCGAGGGCGGAAAGGGGTGGGCCAGGGCAGCGTCGCCCGCCGAGGGATGGCGAGTGTAAACTGGCGTCTCGGTTCGCGAGTGGGTACGAGTTTCTGTGCGTGGGTCCAGGGGAGGCGCAAGGACGCCAGCGGACCCGCTGACACTACCGCGCAACTATGAGCTCATCGGGCAGCGGAAGACCCGCCAGGCGAACGTTCGCCGCGTGCACTGGCGCACGAGTGAGATCATCGGGCCCAGGCCGTATGCGCGCTTATGTCTGTGCGTGTGGACGCAGCCTGGGACTCGACCGGAGAGGTTACGTGGAAGTACCCGCGAGAAGCGGACAGCTAGGGTTCGGCCACCAGGAACGCTCCTCACCCCTTCCAAAAATGCCCCGGAAGTGTATCTGCCCTCAGTAAAGATGGCTGTAGCATTTGGAATGAGAGAGGCGGGGCTGCGCCTGCGCAACAAGTTCGTCAAGGAAGATGGCGGATGACAAGGTGAGTGAATGTGGGGGTGATTCGCAGTCGGGGATGGTCGTCACACTCCATTACCTTTTTATTTCTTGGAAGACACGACACTAAAGCAGCTCAGGGGTAGGGGCGTCCCTTGTTTTCCGTGGGGCTTCTGTCGACTGCCTCAACAGTGGGGGGGGGGGGGTAGGGGGGCTCCTCACCCCTTCCAAAAATGCCCCGGAAGTGTATCTGCCCTCAGTAAAGATGGCTGTAGCATTTGGAATGAGAGAGGCGGGGCTGCGCCTGCGCAACAAGTTCGTCAAGGAAGATGGCGGATGACAAGGTGAGTGAATGTGGGGGTGATTCGCAGTCGGGGATGGTCGTCACACTCCATTACCTTTTTATTTCTTGGAAGACACGACACTAAAGCAGCTCAGGGGTAGGGGCGTCCCTTGTTTTCCGTGGGGCTTCTGTCGACTGCCTCAACAGTGGGGGGGGGGTGTAGGGGGAGCATTAGGCTAGACGGGCGGAGCCGGAGATCCCCCAGGTGTTCTTTTCCGGGTGCCGTCACGGTCCTCAGTTACTAGCACACACTCAAGCACATTCACCTTGAAACCCTCTTTACTCTGCCCCATTCCCTAGCCCCCGAAGTTTTCCTCCCAGAGACATGGTGTTTCTAGTTCAGACGGACACTCACACCACCCTCATTTAAGCACTTCCTTGCGTACACTCTGAATTTCATACTTACATGTGACCGAAACCATTCACTTTATTTACTGTTACACTTGCCAACAGTCATTCTCCCTCTCATCCAGTCACTCACATTCGGTTTGGGATGGCCTTGGGACGTAAGGGATAAAGCCCAGGCGGAAATGAAGTTTACCTTAAATTGTCCAGGGAACTAACTGCCTCAGTCCATTACTCACCATTGGTCTGGGAGCTCAGTGTTACCGACACATTTACCAAGTGCTTGCCAGTTCCTGTGTCAGGCAGTGGGACACTGCCACTCTCAGAGAGCTCATAGTTGAGTCAGTAGTGCTTTATTGATAGACCTAATTGCAGTTCCCCTACCTGTCCCTCCTACCTCCCATACACATTCCTTGCTCTGTGAAATTCTTGTAGGAGTTGTTATGTTACTGGTGCAGATCCCATTTGTCATCCCCTTCCTCACCCTCCACCATGTAAATTCTATGCTTTTCAATGCCTTTCTTCTTTTACCGCTGCCATCTTAGGAAAGTTTTACAGAAAGATATTTCTCTGGCACACCCAACTCCCAGCCTCTCAAAGCATTGAGCAGGGGGTGGGGCTGGGTCAGACTGCTGGAGCCAGCCTCTCCCTTGTCGTAGGATTCTCTGCCCAAGCTTAAGGACCTGGCATTTCTCAAGAACCAGCTGGAGCAACTGCAGCAGCGTGTAGAAGAAGAAGTCAACAGTGGCATGGGCCAGGTAGGTGAGCCCTCTCCCCTCCACCCCACCCCACCCCCGGTTAGGCTTCATTGCTCAACATGCTCTTGAGAGTGTAGGATGGGTAGTAGAGATTTATTCAGCAAATGGTTTTTGAGGGCCTGTTCTCAGTCACCCTAAGGAAAGTTTCCCTGAGAAAATGGCACTTCAGCTGGGATCTTAAGTAGAGGTTAACTAGGTGAAGAGGAGAAGAAACAACACTCCAGGCAAGTGCAACAGCATATGTAAAGCCCTTGTGATGGGAAGTAGCATGATCATGAAGGGCAAAAGGAGGTTAATTTGGCTGCAGTAGTCAGGGAGCATGTTAGGAACTGAGGTGGCAGAAACAGGTAGGGGTCACATTACTCGGGCATCTCTGGCCTTGTGGCAGTAGAGTTCTGTGGTTGGGGCCTTCTGACCCCAGGGTTCTGCGATTGTGTGATCAGGACTCCTAAGTTCTTTTTCTGGCTCCAGAACCTTGAGGAAAATCTTTGAAGAAAATACCACAGCTAAGAGTGAAGAAGAGCAGGTGGTAGAATGCTCTAAGGCCAGCTCCTGGGCAGAGAAGAGGAGAGCCTGGCTGAGTTTCCTTCTGTGTTTTTCTCCACAGGATGGCTCGCTCTTGTCCTCCCCGTTCCTCAAGGGATTCTTGGCAGGATATGTGGTGGCCAAACTGAGGGCATCAGCAGTATTGGGCTTTGCTGTGGGCACCTGCACTGGCATCTATGCTGCTCAGGCATATGCTGTGCCCAATGTGGAGAAGACATTGAGGGACTATTTGCGGTCACTGCGCAAGGGGCCTGACTAGCTCTAGATCCCATGCAGGAGGCAGGATGAGCCGCTGGGGCCTGCAGGTGGAGGCCTTTCAACCACAGTCACTCTATCTGGCTTCCCCAGCCGTCACCTATTTGCTGTCTCCAAATTACCTGCTGCCTTCATCCTTCCCTTCCTGCAGAGGGTAGACAATGGGTTGTCATTCTGCACTCTGGAATCCTTCCCTCTCTAACTTCATGGGACTGGCCCCAAGAGTGTGGCTTGAAGGGCCACCCTTCCTCTTCCAGCCCTGACTGTGGAGTTTGCAGCTGACTCTGATCCTCAGTATTCTCTCTGGTAATGTACCACAGCTCCTCCCTCCTAGGAGCTGGCTCCATAACTTGAGTTTCCCCAAAAGTGTCACAATCCCTGCTGCCTCTTGCTAGCTACACAGGCCACCCAGGGTCTGGTGTGGGCATGAGTGTAGAAGATGGTGGTGTGCGAGGCTTGGGCCGTCCCAGACAGGCCCGCTGGATCCTGATGCTCCTCCTGTCCACTGCTATGTATGGTGCCCATGCCCCGTTGCTGGCACTGTGCCATGTGGATGGCCGAGTGCCCTTCCGGCCCTCCTCTGCTGTGCTGCTGACTGAGCTGACCAAGCTGCTGTTGTGCGCCTTCTCCTTCCTGGTGGGCTGGCAAGTGTGGCCCCAAGGGGCTCCACCCTGGCGCCAGGCTGCTCCCTTCGCACTATCAGCCCTGCTCTATGGCGCTAACAACAACCTGGTGATCTATCTTCAGCGTTACATGGACCCCAGCACCTACCAGGTGCTGAGCAATCTTAAGATTGGAAGCACGGCCCTGTTATACTGCCTCTGCCTCCAACACCGCCTTTCTCCACGCCAGGGGTTAGCACTGCTGCTGCTGATGGCCGCAGGGGCCTGCTATGCTGCAGGTGGCCTATGGGACCCCAGGAACACCCTTCCTGGTCTCCATCCAGCAGCTGCTGCCAGCCCCATGCCCCTGCATATCACTCCGCTGGGACTGCTACTCCTCATCCTGTACTGCCTCATCTCAGGCTTGTCATCCGTGTACACAGAACTGCTCATGAAGAGACAGCAGCTGCCCCTAGCTCTTCAGAATCTCTTCCTCTACACTTTTGGTGTGCTCCTGAACTTGGGTCTGCATGCAGGTGCCGGCCCTGGGCCAGGCTTCCTGGAGGGTTTCTCAGGATGGGCAGCACTGGTGGTGCTGAGCCAGGCACTAAATGGACTACTCATGTCAGCTGTCATGAAGCACGGCAGCAGCATCACACGCCTTTTTGTTGTGTCCTGCTCACTGGTGGTAAATGCCGTGCTCTCAGCAGCCCTGCTGCGGCTACAACTCACAGCCACCTTCTTCTTGGCCACACTGCTCATTGGCCTGGCTGTGCACCTGTACTATGGCAGTCGCTAGCCCCTGACCTCCTCCACCCTGACTCCAGACCCTGTAGATTGGGCACAACCATCGGAGCCACCTCCCAGGCCTCGCCTCTCCTGTCAGTAGCCCTGTAACAAGTGCCTTGTGAGAAAAGCTGGGGAAGTGAGAGCAGCCAGGTTAGTCTCTGGAGGTGGGCAGATGAAGGATACCCCTAGGAGGCATGAAGAGTGGGTTTGGCTAGGGAAACTCTTAACCACCTCCTTTCCCCAGTTCTTTCAGACTAAGGAATTAAGGGAGCATCAATACTTAGGCCTGAGAAATGACCTCATCACTGATGGTGGAGGCTTCTGCCTATCCTGTAGAAACACAGTTGCACAAAATGGGGTGTGGGTGGCAGGTGGCTTTTCTTGCCTACTGTGGTCACCCCAGTAAACTGGCCCCAAGCCTGTTGCTGGCTGCTGCAGCCTAGCAGTGATGCATGACTCCCCCATAAGGGGTACTCACCCCCCACTGTCATGCAGGAAGGCCCAATTGCCACAGATTATACCACCACCACCCAGGCCACTCTGCTAATCTCCCCCAGCTCCAGCAGTGCCTGGAGACCTTCCCCCTGCAACCACAGTGCTGCTCCCCAGATCCAGCCTTTTTTTCTGGAAACTCCAGGGAGGGCTGGGGCTTGACTCATCTCAGGGAATGTTGCCCCTGGGCTCTGGCTTAAGCCTACACTCCTGACCTCTCTGCTTGCCCCAAGGGCCCTCTCGAAACTCACTGCCCCCTCTAAGGCTTCTTCCCACTCTGGGTCCTGCCCCTGCCTAGCAGTGTCCCAGCTCTCAACAGCCTGGGGAAGCTTTACAGAGTGACCTGGGACCAGGTACTTCTATAGCTCAATCAGTGTCTCTAACTGTAAGCAATAAGGTCTTAATAAAGTGTTCTAGTGTGTAGGGTAGGTCCTACAGCTGGCCATGATTGTCCTGTGTCTTCTATGTTGCACAGCTCCCTTCAAACGTAATTTTATTCCTCTGGTGTTCTGAGTATCTTAATTCTGGGGTAACTTCTAAACTAGGAGAAAAAATTTTCTCTCAGCTGCTGCCAGCAGCATTACTTTCTTTGGGAGCTCCATGCAGCTGAAACTATTCCCTGTCACAGAGCTTTTGAAAT